CCCTTTGCGCCTATTTAGTTGCCTTTCTAGGTGCCAAAGTAGTGTAAAAAAAAGGAAAAAAATACAGAATAGTGTCAGCTAGAATGCTGAAATATGGGATATGCCATAGGCGTACTGAGTTTGGTTGCCGGGTTGGTGACCCTCGTGAAATATTCAATAAATACATTCGTTTTATAAATGATCACAAATTGGAACACTGAATTGAGAACTCCGTTAACAGTGTTAACGATCAGAGTGCTTCAGAAATTTCGAATGATATGTGAGAAATCCTTCTAGATGATCCGGAATCAGTATATGTCTAATCAGATCTGGTTATACTACTTTTATGCTCTTTTTCTCAACACTCGCCTTGGATTATATCGCTTTCTGCATGTCTTGTTTCGCTATGTCTGAGAAAGGTATACAATTTGAAAGATCGAAGCTGATGCCATTTTACAATCCAACTATTGTCCATTAGTTGCCAGTATATTGGCGGAATGTTGTAAGCACTTCTGAAGTCTGATTATGGCTTAAACTGAGTTGAGGTAGTATGTATGCTATTTTTATATTTCTGAAGAAGAATACCCTAAATACACATACTCAGATGCATCTGGATGCCTTTTTTCTTGATGGCTGGTATAAGTAGGCGGTATATATTGATTCTGACTAGACGCAAAATCATATAGCTGATTTGCGTTAATGAGGGGTCTCCCATACCCGAGTACATACTAGTGTTAGGGTAGGTAAGTTCCAATATTTTATAATAGATTACGAAGTTACCTACCTTAAATGTCATATTATACCCGACTACATACTAGTATTAGGGTATTCTTCTTCTAATTTTTATATAATAATTACGGAGAAGAACACCTTAAGTCAGATCTATCAAAAATACATTTATTCCTGACCCTGTTACCATTTTGCTATCCCTTCTTTTTGCATCTATCAAAAAAAATAAATTAAACATTTCCGAATTTTATGAAGTAATATAAATATTTTCAAACTAACATCATGCATATACAAACTAATTTCGGCCAAACTGATCGCACTGGAACTCTCGCCCGCTATGACAGTGCTGACCCTTTAACTGGCATCCCTTATGGGTTTCAGAATTTAGGACTGCATCGTAATGATATTGTGGCAGAATTCGATAATGGAATGATCGTTATACTTCAACAAAGCCTTTCCAGTAAGCAACCCATACACTTTATGCCTACTGAAGTTAGTGATGATATCGAGGGGTATTCCTCCTATATATTACATATTACCGGTTCTTTGATTAATAGGCAAAAAGCGATCATAAATATTACAGGTATCCGACCATTTTTTGATGTTGAAGTACCTGAAAACTATTCCCTCTTCACTTAAGACTATATTAGCACACATTTTATCAGTTACACTCAAAAATACAACAAAATTTGGGTTTGAGGATATTTGTGCTTTTCCACTTCAGGGTTATCATATAGAAAAGAAAACATATATCCGTGTGAGGACATGGAATCACTTTGATCAGTATAATGCCTTAAAAGTAGTTCGTGAAGTTGAAATTCATACTGCTTCTGATGATTTAAACTGTCAGTATTATTACTGCAAAATAGCTTGTGAAGAGCGATTACTTCTTTCAAGCTGGGCTGTATTAAGCAATTATTTATACGAATTCACCCTGGATGGTACTTACCTATTTCGACTATCTGTAAATAATTATAATCCAATAAGTGAGGACGATTATAAAAATCCATTAATTTCTTCTGCACTTTTACGAGATCGCACTCTAGTCCTTACATAGGATATTGAGACATATAATTCACGAAAAACAGGCGAGATGCCTAACGCAAAATATGATGAAGACAAAGTGTTTATGATTTGTATGACAATGCATTGGAAAGATGATCCTGAACTGTTAAAACAAATTTGTCTTATCGATGTTGAAACAGCACCAGAGTCAGGTTGGATCACAATTGTATGTGGATTCCAGACAGATTTACTAAAAGCATTCGCTTTATATTGGAAACTTCTAGCCCCAAATATACACATAGGTTTTAACGATTCTCAATATGATTGGCAGTTTATTGTAGAGAAAGCTAATAAATTAGGGGTTCTCAAATGGATGTTCAATCATATGTCATTCGAGCCATCCAGCCTGGAAAAAATTATAAAATAGGAATATCGATATAATATGATAAAAGTAAATGATGGAAAATTCCATTCGAAATATCTTAAAATTCCAGGATGTGTAGCTATTGACGTTCGACCCTGTTTTATGGGAATTTATTCTAAGGCTGAAAAGAGTAGTTTAGCATTTTACCTAAATGAATGTGAGCTCGAAAGTAAAATGGATATGCCTATTCACCGCATGAACAAATATTATGAAAGAGCATTAAAAGAGTCAGATTCCATATCAGTTGAACAAATGCGCGAAGTGGCCAAATATTGTATTATCGACGCTCTTAGTTGCCAGCGGTTAATAGTAAAGCATAATGCAATTAATAAGTATAGAGAAGTAGCATCTGTAGCCTTCTTGTCATTATTTGACGCACATTATTTTGCAGGAGGTATGAAGGTTTGCAACCTTTTAAGTGCTAACGCATGGCAAAGAGGGATCCTAACCAGTATGATTTCAAGCTGACAAACAGAAACTGGAAAATTCTCTGGAGCCTATGTTTTCCCACCAGTAAAGGATCTTGAAAACAGACGTTCTGTAACCAGCTTAGATTTCACATCATTATATCCAAATCTTATCATAACATACAACCTCTTACCTAACAAAATCATTTTATCTCAAGAGCATACCGTATCTGTAGAACAAAGCGACAAAAAGCTTTATAAGATAGAGTTTCTATTTAATAACAACCCCTAACATGCCTGGTCAGTTCAGCATAACAATATTTCTGAAGAAAAGGGACTCTATACTATTGTATTGGAATATTTATCAGGTAAACAAAATGAGATGAAGAAGCGTCTTGCTCCTTTGAAAGAGAAAAAGGAAGACATAGACTTGGTAATAAATTCAATGGGTAAAGGTTTGTCATTATCAAAAGCCATCAAGCAGATCTTAGCGAATGCAGAGGTAGAAAAACGTAGTGGTCTTACTAAGAATTTATATTATTTTATTCATAAAGAAAAGCATGAATTCATAGCAGAATATGATTCTATTTGTTTCGACTGCTCTTGCTTAGATGCAGAACAATATGCTTTAAAGGTATATATGAATACATTTTATGGCACTGCTGGAGATAGTAAATCCCCCTTCTTCCTACGAGCACTGGCTGGAGGCGTCACATCAGCTGGATAGAGAAATATCAAACTCATTGCAGATTTCGTCAAGGGAAAGGGATTTGGGTTAAAATATGAAGATACAGATTCCTTGTATCTAGTCTGTCCAGAAGAACGCTTCCAGAGGTGTGATGAGGCTTATGATAATGGCAACGGGATCTCAAAAAAAGAATATTGGTCTCAAATGGTAGAAATCTCTATGGTAGAAATGGAAAAACTTCGTGATGAAGTTAATGTCTTTCTCAAGGAAGATAACGGATTCCCTTATCTTAAAATGACATATGAGGAAGTCTTATTTTCAGTAGTATTTACTGAAAAGAAAAAATACTATGGTATCCCACATAAAAGCAAGCCAAACTTTAATAAAAAGCCTTTCATTCGGGGGGTTGAGATTGTGAAACGAGGTCAATCTACTCTTTTTCGCAAAATAGGAAAGCGTATTATGGATGAATCTTTAAAGGTGAATAATATACGTACCTTGCATTAAATCATAGAGGATGTTCTTAAGGAATCTATAAAGGATATTTCTCAGACAAATCTTAATGATTTAATTAAAACTGCTGTCTGAAAACCAGACAAAAATAATAAGTCTGTCTAGCGCTTTATGTCACGAATGCAGGATAGACATACTCGTGAAGAAGCAGATGCAAAACGGCTCATAAAAAAGGGTTTAACACCCGAGGCTTATCTTTATAAAATCCCAGAACCAGGCGAGCAGTTTAAATATGTTGTAGTTGAGAATGATTCATCACAGAAGATAGGTGACAAAATGGAGTACCCAGAAGTGGCCAGACAACTTGGTAAAAAGATTAATATTAGTTATTATCTGAATAGTATTGTCAGCCTCTATGCGCGTTTTATAAATTATGAAAATATATACCAACCATCATCTGAAACTGTGCTGGAAGCCTTAAAAAAGTTAAAAGATAGTAATAAAGCGGGTGATAATAAAGTAAATGACGGTGGAGTGGATAAAGACGACATGGACGAAGATGAAGTGGATGAAGACGAAGTAAATGAAGATGAGGTATCGAAAATAAGAGATGCCTTAGCGCAGAAATCAGCTGAAAAATAGGTTAGAGGATATATCAAAGAGCTACATACTGGTCTAAAAAAAGATCATACCATCATATCCCATCTGTGAAAAGAAGCTAATACTTATGTGAAAAATTTATTTAATAACACGTATGCTGATAAAATAGTAAAATACTCAGGAAATGATGCTTATTGGTCTTCCTACCTCAATGCACTAGACAAGCAAGAGGAATCCATCTGCTTAAAGCTAACAATATTACTCGCAGAAATTTCTAAGATCGATGTTGGCTGTAAAGATGGAATGTATAAATTAGTTACTAAGGTCGGTAAGCGCAGATCGAAAGCCATGTCCTTAGAAAGTTACATGTTATCATATAATCTAGAAAATAGATATAATTTACTAACTGATTTGTGAAATACATGGTATAGGGTAGTTGGTCTAGAAATTACACGTTATCGAGTGTTATCGAAGTTACATGAAGATAAAAAAGATGATTCGTCTGAGGCAGATATAGACGATATCATTGAACTATATTGCTAAATATTCTTAACCGAAATTACCACACCTCGCTAAGAGAACTTGCGCAATATTATTTATGTCCGCATATATTTTTCGTTTAATAATACCGGCTAACTTCAATTCCTATCTTCGAACTTCCGGCCTCCAATCATATAACCCAGTCTTAAAAATACCCAGAGATGATAAAAAATAGTTCCAATTAGAAGGGTATTCAGTGTTACTTTTTTTTCACGAATTCCATATTTTTTTCCCAATGATCCATATAATTATAAGGAGAAATAAAGCAAGTATAGCATATGGCATTAAGGAACTTTCAACGGCAGGAACAGCTGGTACTAGAGGCATTTCTCTCTTTTCATTCATCAATGAGGAAGCGGATCTGTGCATCACTCCACTCAATAGAAGACATAATTTCACATAATGAGAAGAATCCTAGGGAATGGGTGCTTATTTATAAAGAAATATCTAATAATGTGAACGGTCACCTGCTATACGTCAGTCTTCATTCCAAGCATCTTCTACAGCTCTTAACTTGACTATTGCATTTCCTGGTTGGCCAACAGCCTCATTTAATGCATTAACTCCTATCTGTATTGCAGTTCGCCCATTTACTGCAACTAAGTTAGCCTGCCCTATCTTATCGAGTAAGTTAGTTAACTCCCAATTCTGCTTTGTAGTAATCTCATCATCGAACTATTCTAAAGTCCTTCCTCTCATACAGCCTCTTAAATGCCCTATTGCATTATCTCTTCCTGTTAGAGGACCTGCTACATTATTATTTGGATCTATTCCCTGATTATGCAAGTCTAGTCTAAGTTGCGCAAGAAAGTTTGGGATACTATCATTCCAGACAAAATATGGATGAGGTATTCCTGCTATATTTATTTGATTTGGTGGATTATTCTGTGTGGAAATTCTATGGCCCCATGATGTTTAGTAAAAGCAAATTTTTCTGAAATGAAAGGCTATAATAAACATAAGGCAAATAAATGGCTCCTATATTTAGACGCTAATAATTTATATGAATGGGCTATGTCATAATATTTACCGATAGGAGGATTCTGATGGCTCGAGCTAGACAAACTGCCTGATATTTGGTCTATTTTTCTAACTGCTAAACGAGTGAGGTGATAAACTATTTATCGTAAAATAGGAGGTTTGGAAATATCTTATACAATGATTGATACGGGATCAGATTCTTCTATATTTTCAGATAATATGGTATCTCAGGTGATGATACGCAAAAGCAAAATTTTCTCATTTCTTTCCTTAATATAATTCTGCTTTTGCGTATCATTTTGAAGGGCATATGGAATGTGCCTTGCATATTCTCCTGTCTCTTTCCTAATATGATTGTAAGCCTAGAGGGGGAGCTAATTATTATATCTTTACATTATTTTTTTTTACTTTGCTTAGCAGAGCTTTCACTAACATTTAACCTTTACTCTATTAAAACATGGAAGAATTCCTGAAAAAAAATATTCCAGGCATACCATATTTTCCTAGAAGCTAAAACATGTGAAATTTTGGTGACCCAGATAAGAAGAATTATATATAGGAAAGAGAGAATAAATTTTGCGCATCTGGATCACCAGGTATAGAAGCATCCAAGTAACGACTGTACGGGAAAGGGTTCTAGAAAAGCAGGACGTAAAACAGGGGCATAGATTTAGTAGTATCTACGAATAGAATAATATATAGGAAATAAAATAGAAAATTATGCCCGCCTTCTCATAAATTCGAAGCCAGAAAACAAAGTCTATTTATCTTTTTCTGAACAATATGAAGAAAAGGTCTGCTAGACAAAATTCATATTCTGTAGACCAACATTTTTAAATGGAATGCAACTCAATAGGTATAATGAGGAACTTCAACTAGCATTCGAATTCCATGGTCAGCAACATTATACTCTTAATTCAATGTTCCATAGGAGAGGGATATAGATTTAGAGAAACAGAGAATATGTGATCAGAAAACGCGGGATATATGTAAGGACCAAGGTATATGCCTTATCAAAGTGCCTCATACTGCGAATTTATATCCGTTCATTAGTCATATACTAATTGAGAAAGGATTCTTAGATAAAGTGAAGCCCAACTCTAGAAAGTTCACGTGATTTTAGAGATCAAGTACTCATACACTTGGCGAGCCGGCTTCAGTTCGGAGTACTAGAAAGGGCTCTCTCGCAGATTAGGAAGGAGTAGCTATTATAATTATATATCTAATAGATTTTTTGTTAACTCTTTTTTCGGCCGAATGGTAGAATATGACTGGAGGAAAAAAAGAGGAATATATTCTCTGAATTTTTATTAATAATCCAATGCTTGGAATATATATAAAAGGGTCTAAGAGGGGAGGAGAAATAGTTAATTTTATTAAGAATGATTTAATTAAGAACTATGATGATCAAAATCATCGGACTTGCATAGGTGAAAAACAAAATAGAAGTACGGAAACCTTTTTCCCTAGAATATCTTTGGATTCTTCAGAATGTTCTGATGTCCGGAAATGTATGGGACAGAAAATAGATAAAGATACCCCATGTTCTTCCAAAAAAACTCTAGAACTTATAAGGGAGTTTGGTCAAGATAATTCGTTCCTGAATGGTCATAAGGCTGTTCATAATAATGCTTCTCAGACAATCCCTTGGTTTCAGATTTATAAGAAAACGGATTGTAATTCAGAATCCTGTGTCTTAAATAAACCTTCTTTCCAGAAATTTGCTGAAAGTAAAGGCTTTGGTTCAAGATTCTTAGATAGGGAACTTGATATTAATTTTAAGGCGTATAGCCCAAGAGATAGTACTGCTTGGTTGAGCAATCGCAATATTGATGAGACACTTCAACGGTGGGTCCACAAGTTTAATGATTTTTATCCTTGCCCCTTTACTATGGTGGATTTCGAAGAAAGGAAAGAGCGCTTTGCAACTATTGATATGATAGGGGTACTAGAAGGAGATGAACCTGTTGATTTGGGGCCAGAGATTGGCATAAAGAAACGCCCTCATAAAACTTTTGATGTTGTCTAAATATGGATACATCTTGGGGACCAGGAATACATTGGACCTGTATTTTTGTTGATTGCAGGAGAAGCAATGAATGGAGTATAGAGTAGTTCAATAGCGCAGGATACTCTCCTGCAGTTCCTGTAATCGTATGGCTAGAGAAAACTCGTTTCAAGCTTCAGCATCATAGAAAAGATATTAAAGTTAAGATAATTATAGTATCTCAGATTAAACATCAAAAGTCTCAGACAGAATGTGGCGTATATTGCTTATATTACATCCAGTCTCGTTTGGAAGGAGAGCCCTATACTAGTTTTTTGGGACAGATTATCACAGATAAGCTTATGATAAAATTCTGACAACTTTTATTCTGGAGTGGTCAATAACATAAAAAATGGAAATTAATCAGTAATCTCAAATGATCCTTACAGTTCGAGCCGGCTCGCTCGATTAACAATCTGTTTCTAACCTTTTTTATCTATATCGCTAAATTATCTTCTGGAAGTCCTAATATATTGATATTTAAGCGAAAACCAGACTCACATGTGTATGGTCCTATTTTATGAAATATGTTTTTAATCTAGATTTATAAGCTAAGGCAGGCAGACAGATTGAGAAGAGACTCCCTAGCTATATCTCAGGTGATGATACGCAAAAGCAAAAATTTTTCATTTCTTTTCTTAATATAATTCTACTTTTGCGTATCACCACTCTTTCCGTCCGCCTTTTCATAAATTCAAAGCCAGAAAACAAAGTATCCTATTTATCTTTTTCTGAACAATGTAAAGAAAAGGGTCTGGAAAAAATTACAAAATGGCAATATCAGTATAATATGATAAAAGTAAACGATGGAAACTTCTATTCGAAACATCTTAAAATCCCAGGATGTGTAGCTATTGATGTCCTGTCCAAAAGATCGTCTGGAATTATGGCATAATGTCAGCTAAAATTAAACATGAATTTATTGCACTATTGAGCAGAACTTCATGTAGTAGTTATCAGCCCGCCATCTCATGGTTTGACCAAATTAATGGTTGAAACTATATATTTTTCATTAACTGTTTCGCCTATACATTTTTGCTGATGCTGTACCATTAATTTGTGATAAATCTCCATACCAAGATAAGAAGGGTCTTCATGTTTTCCATTATATATAAGGTTATTACATTTATAGCAGATAGCATAGCTGGTAGACTCGCAGATACTATGATCATTTTCCAAACGATTTTTTTAATCTACAACTTTTCTAGCAAGAAGGTATTTTTTTGCACTAAGAGGTAGAACATCTTCTTCTCTAAATTCTATTAAATTATTCCAAATTCTGTTCTTTCATTCTAAAGGCATTTCTCCAGGTTTTATGTCTTGAAGGCGTACTCATATATTCCATTGCTCAAAGCTCATTCAGGAATTATAATCCCATCCTGGTATTTCCTTTTCAGGTAAATAGATATCCATCTTAAAAAGTAAAGATAATTCGCGTAATTACAATTGTTTATTAGCTTGCTTTTGAGGGCCTTATCCCGAAACATGTTTACATACCGGATCTGATCATTGTTCTTATTACAATAGCACATAGGCCGTTATCTATCCCTGTAGGTTTATCTATCTTTGTAGGTCTATCTATCTTTGTAGGTCTATCACAGGCAGAGCACGACTGGCACTTCTTAGTTTTGATGTGTGATCGACAACACATATTTCTTTCGATTTCTCTCAGCGTCGATTATCCTCAACTTCTTGCGGATCTATCAGGCATGTCTGGTCAGGCAAGATATCTTCTCAAACTAGTGTTGTGGTCATTCGCTATGTGGACCTCTGTTAGTGAACTTATTTTTATTTTCTTTCCTATTTTCCAAACTCTTTCAAAGCTATAGTGTCTTACCTGCTAGATTCTGCCATACCTGTATTACATAGCTAGTCTTTCTGAGCTTCTATCGGCTTGATGCTCTGCCTTGCTGACCCTTAATATAATGCTACTCGTGAGGCCAGATGCTTGAGTAGCCTCACGTAACTTCCTATACTATCTTGCGAAATGCAGGAGAGAGTAATGATCTAGAATATTTTACAAATAAATTTCACAAAACTGGTACTTCCTATCACGATCTTCCTGGCCAGTGTTGGGAGATATTTTCTGGCAGGCATTCTAGCTAAAGTTGCCAGACCGTAAGGGATCGCGAGTTATAATAAGAAAGATGTTTTGTAAAATAATGTAAGATAGAGTGATTAATCGGCATTGGCAAGGAAATCCATCTTCCTCAATACTACTACTAACAATATTATCTTTCCTACAGAAAAAGTCTTCCCAGCATATTCCTCAATACTAGCCTCGCCGATGATTGTGAATATGTTTAGCAGACAAGTGTAGACTATCTAATCAGGAATAATCTTCCTATTCTTGTGAAGCGTCTGCAAAGCGCCTCAATAGCTGACGGCTGATCAAATCATATCATATAGCTTCAGGGGAGCGCTAAGCTGAAAGAGATTGTCATGTTCAGCAGACGAGTTGTCCCAATACTATAGTTTACTAAAGTGAATAGACAAGCGTGGATCTGTTACTGGATAGACTCTTGTGTTCTGCGCCTCTTGTTCTGTATACTGTCTAGCAAAACATTATCCCTATCAATGGGGATTGTTGCGTTCTGTGGATGAGTCATCCCTATATTATATAGCAGAGGGGAAAGATTGTCATATTCAGCAGATTTCTCTCGATTTTTGGTGGATGGGCTTTTCGCTCCTATATTTCTTCCAGTTGGCCAGACATTATTCTTTAGTAGATATAGCTAACTGTCTCCAAGGGCGGTTTTGCTAATCCATTTTAACTCTTTCTCACTCTACTATCTTTAGAGGCATAAGGTAGTGTTGGGAATAGATTAGCTGGACTATATTTTCTTGCCAGATAGTATAGGAGTACGGAAGTAGTTCGCTTGACAGTATAAGAGTGATGTTTTGCAAGATAGTATAGGAAGCTATGCAAGGCTACTCAAGCATCTGGTATTGATCTTAGAAATAAAAAAAGAAGTTATACTCGAGTGGATTACTAGGTGATAGGCTAAGTAAGTGTCTGCTATGCATCTGATGATAAAGAAACGCTTCAGGTATTTATTTGAACGTCTTATATTTCAATCTAAACTAAAAGAGTTATAGTGCAACGATACGCTTTAGATATGATTGGCCAGGAAAGATGTTTCTTGGATCTTTTTTCCTATGACTATTTTAGTCACGGGATTTTGGGAAATATTACTTGACTCTTATGAACTCAAAGCCGGGTAAGTGGGAGAGTAGCTGATATATCAGACTCTACTAACGCGCGTGATCATATACTTGACAGAATACAGATTATGATAGAAACGATAATTTCCTAGATAGTATTTGAGACAACATCTTTCGGGAAGATAGAGAAGCCTCGAGAAGATACATGAAAAAGGTATGGAAGACATGCACTATAGGAGTGATGCTGAAGATGGCTGATTTGCAGGACTACTATATCTTGGCTTGATTTTCTTCACACTGGCACTAGGCAGGTGTAAAAATAAGGGTACACTTTCAGTAGTACCCCAAGGTAAATAATATATAAGGAAAGAAAATAAAATTTTTACTTTGGGATACTACCAATGATAGGCAAGGGAGAGATCAGGCAGGCAGAGAAGCCTCGAAAAGATACACGAAAAAAGGGTATGAAAGTCTAATATAGCCTGAACTTGACTAAAATAGAGAAAATGTTTAGCAGGGCAGTAAACGGGCTCATGATAGAAAAGATGAGGTCTCTGGGTCTTGATAAGGGTAATATTTTGCTCTTGACCAGTAGGAAAACTCAGCCTCGTTAGATATAGAAGACCATACCTATCAGCTAGACATATTCACAATCATCGGTGAGACTAGTATCGAGGAATATATTGTTCCTATTTTTTCGTTGACCTGTGTTTTTGATTTGAAGCTGTCCAAGCCAGGGATCGATCCCGAATCACTAGTCTCACCTGAAAGTTTCGTAGAAGTGCCCTGATATGTCTTTCCTGCAGGTTGAGTGGATATAGCTCCCCAACTATGGAGTATCTGAGACAAAAATATTAACACTGACCAGAAGCATGTGAATGAAACAGTGCCTACTATCTTGGGCAAAAGCGCATAATCATAACTTGGAGATAGCCTTGGTCTTCTAGTTTTTTTGCTTAGAGGATATCCAGATCGTTACTCTACTTTTTCTTTCACCTTTGTATATAGGATAGATGGGGGGTTATTATACCATAATGTTCTACTGATAAGGTATGACCAACTTTATGTCTGAGAGCTAATTGACGTAAATGTTGCCGATAAGAATCATTTTGTCCTCCATGTATATGGCAAGCGTAGTCCGCACCTATCTTCCTCAACATGTATGAAGTTATCCTATAATCTGCTAGAAAACGGTTAATCAGGTTAATATCCGTAATGCCATTACTATTTTTTAGTAGAAAGGAGAAACTAATCAGGATCGATTCTGGAGAGACATGGGGACCCTTCTTATATCGTGAAGAAAATGCCACTCAAGAATTTGTTAGACAGATTGATCAGGAATTAGTAGAAATCAATAGGGTCTTAGCTATTAAGCATGATCAAAAAATCACAGATGAGAATAAAAGAAAGTTTAAGGAAGCAGACAAGTGTTGGATTTGCAAAGGTAAATTCGCTATAGATAGGGATAAGGTTAAGTGCTTGGAAAATCAGTCTGCTTAGCTCACTAGAAAGTTAGAAAAGACTGCTAAGAATTCAGAAGAGTATAAATCTTTAAAAACAGCTATTATTAAAGTAGCTAAACAAATTGACCAAGTAGAGACTATGGATGATAAGGTCTGGGAGCACTATTACATTACAGGTGAGTTTTGTGGGACCTCTTATAAGTCCTGCAATCTTAAACTCCAGATCGAGCCATGGAAGATCCCAATTCCAGTAGTCTTTCACAACTTTTGGGGTTATGACTCACATCTGGTTTATGAATCTGTTGAACACTCAGTTAATGCGCATCAGATTAGTGTCATTGCTGAGATATTTGAGCGATATAAATCCATGAAGGTAGATCAGCTCAAATATATTGATAGCCAACAGTTCATGAATACTAGCTTGTCAAATCTCGCAAAGAATTTGGGTAATGATAAGCCTATAACAAGTAAGTATTTTGAGGATAAAGGCTATACAGAAGAGCAGATTTTACTAGTATGTCGTAAGGGAGTATACCCCTATGAGTATATAGATTCACAGGATAGATTCTTAGAGACAGAACTCCCTCCTATTCACGAATTTCATGGGATTCTTAGTGGTAAAATTACCCAAGAGGATTATCTCCATGCCCAGAAAGTGTGGAAGGAATTTGGATGTAAAAATCTAGGCGAGTACCATGATCTTTATCTTAAGACAGATGTACTCCTTCTTACAGATATCTGGACCGCATTCTGAAAGACATCTATGAAATATTATGAGCTCAATCCCAGTCATTATGTATCTGCACCATCCTTATCTTGGGATGCTATGCTTAAAATGACAGGGGTTAAGATTGAGCTATTCACAGAAATGGCTATGCATGACTTTGTAGAAAAGGCCAAGCGTGGTGGTATAGCTATGGCTGTACATCGATATTTCAAAGCTAATAATCTGAAGATGGAAGAGGCTTTCGATCCATCCTAACCCACGACTTGGATCTCATATGTCGATGCAAATAATCTTTATGGTTGAGCTATGAGTCAATTCTTGCCTATAAGTGGATATAAGTGGGTTGCTAGTCAGGAGTACTTAAAGAAGAATCCTGCTATGCAAAAGAAATACCTTAAAATAATTCTAAAAACTAAGGCAGATGCGTCACGAGGATATTTCTTAAATATCAATGCACACTTCCCTCTAAAGACCCACAACTATTTACAGGACTTACCTCAGCTGTAGAAAATATCGCTGTAGGAAAAGATATGTTGTACCCATATAATACTAAGCTTGTGAATAATATCGATGGTGAACGCTTCAGTGTAATAGAAAAATTAGTTCCACATCTTGGCCCCCGAAAAAGCTATGTTATCCATTATCAAGAGCTCTAATATTATATAAAACTAGGTATGGTTGTAGATGAAGTTACAGAGATTTTATCCTTCGACTAGACTAACTGGCTTGCGCCATATATTGCAAAAAATACCAAGTTACGTCAGAATGCAAAGAATGCATTTGAGAAGGACTTCTTCAAGCTCATGAACAACTCGGTATATAGCAAGACTATGGAAAATGTTCGCAAATACCAGGATGTCAAACTCATGAAATGTAATAATGAGCGGGATGAAAAGGCATTCAGAAAAAAGGTCCGCAAGCCCAATTTTAAGTATGGTAGACCGCTTGGACCTACATTAGTAGGAGCGCATATAGAAAAGGCTAGTGTAACTCTTAATAAGCCCATCATAGTTAGAGCATCAGTCTTGGGTCTTAGCAAACTCTTAATGTACCGCTTCTGGTATGACTATGTTAAGGATAAATATGGAGATAAGGTTAAGCTCAGGTATATGGATACAGACTCTTTCATATTTCAAGTCGAGACTGAAGATATTTATAAAGATATGGCTGAGCGACCAGATCTCTTCGATCTCAATGACTCTACAACTATAAGCCTTTTCAAGGACGAGACCCTTGATAATATAATTACTGAGTCTATACATATCTGGACTAAGTCTTACCACTATGTCTTAGCAGATAAGATCATAAATTCTAGATATAAGGGGGTTAGTAAAAAAGGTATAGGCGAGATGACAACTAATACATACTTTCCATCCTTAGGGGGAACTTTGTTAGATGATCCAGTAGACCAATCTGAAGTTTTCGATCCTATGACCCAAGTATATTAGGACTGTCTCTTTGGTAAGGAAGTATTCTATGCAAAGAATGTAGGTATCTGATCAAAGGATCATATATTATCTCTGGTCGAGTCAGAAAAGAAGGCCTTCTGTCCCATAGATACTAAGCGCTGGATCTTATCTAATGGAATTACTACTTTACCATATAATCATTAGCGAATTATGGTATATAAGAATATGGTAAAAGCTGGTATTCCCTATGAAGAGGCCGAAAAAAGAGCTATAAGGGCCAAGCTCTTAGAGAAATACCAAAACGAGTGTGTGTCTCACATATCTAGCTTTCAGCCATAAGTTAGATAGTGATGTATAGTCAGATCACATACATTATTATATTAGATTTTTTTTTCCCAAACGTAATAAATATTCAGTTTATTTTTTCCAGATATATAAAAATGCCTTCTAAAAAATATCATACATATTATTCAGAAAAAGAAAAGGTATATACTATTCAAGAGATCAAAGAGAACATTATAACATTGGAACGTGATATAACTAAAATACATCAAAATCTTAAAAGCATTGGCTGAGAAATTAATTATCTATATGATGCTATGACCAAATCATCTGAGTCCAATACATCTGAGTCGAGTTCAGCTGAAGAAACTTATACAATAGAAGAGGAACTCAGGGAATCAGTTTTTACGCTACTTAATAAAGTAATACAGATGAATAAAAAATCTGGTAATAAGAAGGTGAAATGTAAAAGATATCCATCCCGTTCTGTTACTGTTAAATTAACTAATTATTGAATCAACTAAATTATCTAGTAATGGGTAAGAAATCTAGAAATAATCGACGCAAGACTGCAGAGCCGAAGGTGCTTTGCATAAGTTCATTACTAACTCCACGCAGTATTTGCCATTAATAATATTTTTTCAATTAAAGATATAGGCTCATATAGTAAAGTATGGAATTTAATATCAATTTGCACAATATAGAAAGTTTAGATGAAATTATAGAAAATGCAAATAAAAATATTAAAAAGGTGTTTCTAGCAGAGGTTGCACCTGAATGTCGACAAGAAATCTATATAATTAGTCTTAAATTGACATTGGATAGATTGGCACGAGAGCTAGAGTTTGTACAAAAAGATGATTATTCTTCTAAGCCAGCTCAGAATAATTTGCTAAGCTATGCACAGCGCCTTTGGCCAGATTTTATACGACAGAAAAATTAGTGGATCACCAGATAGGTTGTGTGATATATTAATTTTCACATATCGAAAAGAAGTTATATGCTAACCAATACCTCTATTTTTTATTGATTTACAATATTAGCAAAATGTTTGATGATGATATAGATGCTAAGAAGGAAAAAGCTTTTGATAAATTTACCAAAGAATATGGACAGAGAGAAGAAGATTAGATTATTTATGATAATGATTGGTATAACTGGAATGATCTTTTTTGTGAAATTAAAACCTATTGGAACACAAAAGCGGTCAAGTATTGGAGAGAGAAAATACTTAAGTGATTTGTATATAGTCTACCCAATGTAAGTAATCTAACATTATTATTTCACGTACTCTTACAATCCAATATTATTTATCTTTCACAAATAATAAGTCTAATAGAATTGCCATATTATCCACTTGAACTTTGATCAGAAATATGGGGTCCCTCCAAGACCTGACCAGATGGTATTTACTATACAAGTAGTAGTGGAATATCAGATTAATCTCACGAAGTCAGCTGTCAAAGAAAATCCTGAGTTATTTCGAAATAACATGAAAAGGATAATAGGTATAATTGTCGGGCTGTTAAAGGATAGGGTTAGTGTAGATAGTTCTCCAACTAATAAGAGGGTTAAGATCAAAAAAATTATCAAAAAATAATGTGTATCGCAGGCTATGTCCCGAACTTTGTATTTATTTTTGCATGTATTTAATAAAAAAATTTTCTTGGCGAAAGTAGTCTGCGTTCCAAATTGAAATGAACACGTGATCTTTTATACCTCTGAGAAAATCATGATGTCACATATCACTTGATTTTTGATTATGCTACGAAATTAATCATATGTTAAAGAGCAAATTTCTTTGGATGTGAGGCTGAGCAGAATATTATGAAAAAACAAAATACAGTAGTGGTGGAAAATAATAATAATTTTTAAGCTATATGTTTTTTCGATCAATCTTTAATTTATTTATAAAATATTTTAATAATATATAATATAATATCACAAGTAAATAAAAATAAAATTTTAATAGTCAATTATATGACCCTTCTTTTCAATAACATCTTTCAAATGTTTTTCATACCCGCACATAAATTCGATAGGAGGTCTAAATTAAGATTTTCCCATTCAGATCGAATAATTGATAAAAAATCATTTAATCCAACTGATTTTTTTTGTGCTATACGTTGATTTACCCTTTTTTCTACTCTTTTTTTTCATTATAGCCCATAAGTTCTCTATAGGATTGATATCTGGAGAATAGAATAGCCAATCAAGCACTCACGGACATTTTTCTTGAAGAAGAATTGTTGTTAATTTTGCCTTATGTTTGGGATCGTTATCCTGTTGGAATATTCACCTTTTTCCAAGGATCCTTGTAGCACTAATAAAAGATTTTTAGTTAAAATATCCTGATAAAGTTCTCTATTCATATTTTCAGTAAAACAATAAAATCCCACAATTACGCGTGCACAGAAAGCACCCTATGTATGAACTTTGAGTGAATGTTTTACAACTACATGTCATGGTTTTTCTTCTCCAATCTTATATCTTACCAATGTTGTATTACGAAATAGTTGAAAAGTAGTTTCATCAGAAAAAATGACATTTTCCCATTTTTCATTTAGGTGAAATTTTGACCATTCAACTCTGCGTTTCTTGGCAGTAACAGTCAATATTGGTATTGAAGTTAGTATGCTAACGCGATAACCTAGGTTAAAAAGATTTTTATGAATGGTTCTGAAAGCAATATTAAGATTTGGATATGCTTGGTTAAGTGTAAAAGCAATTTCCTTGCTAGTTGCACATTTTCTTGTGCTAGCTAATTTTTCAAGATGAATTCGTTTTTTTGGAGACAAAAGTTTTGGCCTTCCTGAACACGATTTTGGTTTAATAATACCAAAATTTTTAAGTTTTCAGATATAAGTGTATAATGTGGATTTCGGAATATGTGTTATTTTATGTAATTCATTAATATCATAGATTCCATTTGTCCACAAATTGTTTATAAAGGACCGTCTTTCGTTTAAAGTTAATTTTTTCGACATGATGAAAAAAAAGATGGATAAAAAAATTTTTTTTTGCTGATCTTATGATTATTTGTTTATTTATATTATATATCACGCGTTGATTTAAATAATTATGTAAAAAAAACAAAAATAATTATTAAAAAGGAAGTGATAAGTAATGTTGATCAAGTCACATGATATTATCATTATTTTCTGCCACTACTGTATAAAGGTAAGAAGTATTTATTTTTTTATTTCTGCCGATTTTTTGTAATAGTTCTAAAATATTAATATCTCGGGATATTTGAGCGGAAATTGGCTAATCTCCTCGCTAATAAGGCTTTCAATAACAGATATAGGAAATGGAATATTTGTATTAATTATAGAATCATATTAGTTAAGTTTTGATACATAAATATTATACTGCATTGCAAATTTTTTTAATTACAATACAGTATATGAAATATTGCTTGAAAGAGATTTATACAACCAAATTCGAATCAATATTTATATTATGACATAACAGAATAAATGCAATATTTTAATACAAGAAAATAGAAACATAAACTCATGCAAAACTCTTACCACGACCCCTACTGTGACCTCTCCCCTACCATTCACATTCTTTCCTTCTCTTAATATTTTTGGCAGAAATTTTGCAAACGTTACAGCATTTCGCCATTCTGGTGTGAATCCAGTTGCATACTTGGGCTTGGATTTCGTTATGTTTTCTTGTCCTTCCTTTCTAAACTCTATAAACCTTTTAATCTTTTCAACAAGATTGTATCATAAGCATAAAAGTATTCTAATAAGTCTAGGTACATGATTTAGATCAGTATTAGAAGTTGGGATCGTAAGAACTGGGATTGTAAATAGTGCAAAAAGATATAAACCAAGACCAATAAATATTAACTGGCCAATCTCAATTTTATCAGCTACAAACAAAAACAAGAATATATTAGATCAAAATCATCTGCAGGTTCAAAATTATTAAAAAAAATTACCAAATGCTTGGGCTAAGAAAATCCTCAGTGTTTCGCATACTTTCCATTTTGGTAACTCGGTACTCAACATAAATTTATTAAGGCTAAAGACACCCTCGCTCAGTAATTTATGCCTATCATCATTAATCTTGTCTGGATCTGGGTTATTAAGCCCTTCCGATACTTCAAGCAAAAATAATGGAATTTGCTTAGATCACTCGAAAAGCTCTAATACTCCATCAGCTTTATAGCCGTTATCTTGAATATCGATCTTTGTAGATATGTCTCTTTCACATGAAAAATACTGCGATGAGTCAATAAAACAAAAAGTGATAAAAAAAATGTATGCTAATACATGGGCCGTCCATATCCGCTCAGGAGTCTTATTCATGACACCATTCATTTTTATGATGATGTCAAAATGGTTAGAGATATTCTTGACAATAAATAAATCAAGCATTTTGGGTTGTTCATAGTTCGCCGGAATAGGAAAGAAGTTGGATAAATAGTGATATTTTTCAGGTACACTGCCCAATTGATGTACTATTTTCTCTACTTCATTGTTTTCTTCTATAGTCTCATTATTACTTTCGTTCACAAGATAACTATAAACCGCTTTGTCTTCCTTCAATTGAGCAGGTACAATATCATCAAAAAATGCTAAATACTCATGTGTCTTTTCACTTATGAATTTTTCTTCATCTTCCAATATTAACCTTTCATATAATGAATCCAATTCACCCTCATCCAAAAGTCTATATATCTGTTTTCATGTGTCTTCATCTCCTAAATTGAGTATGTAAAAATTTGACTCAGAATCTCGAGTTTTTCAGATAGTTTTAAGTTTGTTATAGTATGACAGAAAAGTTACTTTTCCAAAAACATCAGAAGCATCAATCATGGAATTCACCAAATATTCATTCACAACATCAAGTTCTCTTTCTTATGTATCACGTGCACATTTTTTCAGTAGAAAAGATGTAGTAGGTTTTTGAACTATCTCTCTTAGTTCTGACGTAACATTTTCACGTACTCCCTCAAAAACTTCCAATACATTACCTTCTACTCTTCCAGCAAACCCTTCTTTCTGGAGATATCTTTGAGCTTTTTCAACATTTTCAAGAAAGGTATTTTTTCGATTAGGTCCCTTTACAAACTTGCTCAACTCTTGGCAGTAATTACAAACTCCGATTGGCATGATTACTTGTTCTGATATTAATTTAAAACTTGTGGTATAAGCCGTGAATGCGTCATTTAGTTTATTAAGAAGATCCGGTACAGAATACAAAAATTCAGGTATTTCATCGTAACGTTTTACTGGAAGATTAATAAAATGAGTTGTGATTTCTTTAGGAAGATTTTTGTCGAAAGGAAGACACCAATCTGCCAACCCCAGAGGATATGAAGGTTGTGGCATTTTCCGTTTATAGTAAAGGGTAAATTATTTCTTTGGTTAATTGATCTGAAGGATTATTTACGTTCTAGCCTGCTATAAAATCTTGCAATTCTGACACGCAAAAGTATTGATCTTGATGCTGTATGACCAGTCTTTACCTTAATTCTATTATCACGTGATTTTTGCTCAAAACGCGTCTCATTAAATATCACGTGGTATAGATTTTTGCTTATCTTATTACTTCTGGTACTTAGCTAAAATCAGAAGCGGAATGACCTGCTCTTAACACTGGTCTAGCCCTCACAAGTGTAACGGAATGACCTGCTTCATAAATACTTGTAAATGAGGTTGATGGCGGAATTACCTGCTGAGTCTGTGAATGATTTTGTTTGAGTTACCGTCTGCGTCATGAAAGTTGTTAAATCAGGAACGGAATGACCTGTTCTTAATATAGACCTAGCCCTCACAAGCGTAGCGAAATGACCTGCTACACAAATACTTGTAATGAGGTTGATGGTGGAATTACCTGCTGAGTCTGTGCATGATTTGCTCTTCTTTTTAGGGCTGGATACAAAACTAACAAGCTGTGCTCTAATCTGTATGACTAGTATGACTTAGGTAATATTTTTTTATACTTTATTTTTAATGATATAACGGTTATTTTAAAGTGAGAAACATCTCAAGTCTTAACCCATAAAATGATATTTCCTTCCTATTATATCCAATTCTATTTTTTTGAGAACGCCTATCTACGTTATACCGCAATATGAAGTACGAATATTTCTGATGAGACATCAGCAATTTTAAAAGATACAAACATTTTTTTTTTAGTTGTGCTGACTGATTGTACACTTGCAGTTCTGAGCTTACAAGCTAATAGATAATTTTTCATTTAGGATTTCAAGGAAACATATTAACATTACGGAAGGCAAAAAACATAAATCATCAGCGGGTTTACTAAGATCAATACTGTTAATTTATTTCTGACTCTGCAAGTTCCATGCATAACTGATGACCATTTTATTCTATCCAGAATATCGATGTTGAGGACAAATTAATGTTGGAATATTATGTTAGTATAGATAGTTTAGATGAACGAAACACTGGTGTGGGTCTGTAGGGATTAGTATAGAAACATTTCA